TACTTCAAAGACTCTCCGTCTTGGTGTTTTATCTCCTACCATCATTATCTACTTAAATAACAGTATGTATCAAAGAACATTAGGTTATGTCTTCTCATAGAACCACAGCTTAAAATGACTAGTATATTCTTATCATTGATTGTGTGTGCCAGTGGCTAATTGTGCACTTTGATAAGATTTAGTTACGCTATCTTAGTGTTATTCCCATATCTAGATGCCATCGAGGAATCAAGCTTGTCAGTAAAGTTGATGCCTTGAGTAGCATTACGCATAAAACAATCGTCTACTTTACTATCGTCAACTTTTTTCGATTTTATCTAAGACTCCATCGGTTGGCAAAAAACTGTATCTGATGACAAGAAAATAAACTCGATTTTTCTGTAAAGTTTTAGATGATTAACATAATAGCCAACAATACAGAGTACGAACCATACACAAATTCTTGTTTTGGCCTCCACAAAAATCACAAAAAGTCGAAGGATTCTTATTTTGGCTATATCCAAAGAGTTGAGGTAAGCCCGAATGAACGAAGAAACATTAAGAGATATCAACGTTAATATTATTCATATTCACCAGTGATAATGCTCGGATCCTCAGAATACTTAATTGTGTAAACGAACGATTCAACATCGTGATGAATAAATTCGCAATATCCATAAATACCATTCTTCCACACATCATAGTCCTTTGGCGTTATTGCATTACCAATATTTGCACTTTGTTTAACCAATCTTCGAATTTATCGTCTTTTAAGTAAGCTAAGAAGTTGCAAATCTAAATGGGATTTAATGTATGATGTAAATCGAATGACTAGACTTGTTACACGATCGATCTTGGATCTAGATGCATTACTGAAGGTTTTGTATTGGATAGTTTTACTATTTCCATATTATTCAACAAGATTTTATGCAGAATAGCACCTTTAAAGTTTTTTTTCTCACTTTTTGTCATACCTCCTTAAAAACCTCTATTTAATTAATAAGCAACGTTGGAATGTTTTTATCGTCATCTACGTCAGGTCTTACTGTTGGTAATTTTTTTACTTTTTACCTTCCTGGAATTCATTCTTTTCTTCATCATTTTCATCTGTTTCACGACCGTTTCTTTTTTATCAGCGCCTTTAACGTAATCTCCTTTTTGTACCACTACAACGTTCTTCTTCATTTTTGTCATGTTGTCCCATTCCATTTTCCTTCTAAATATTCTTCATTGGAGGATGGAGAACGACTAAACGTGGTTTCTACGGAATTTGATCCCGAGACATCTTGCGTGTTAACTTTAACACGCTGAGCCATTGTACCCCCTCCTATAATCTTATTAACAGTTTTATTTATTAAACGTTTGATGTTAATTTGGGTTAAAACCCCCAAATATATAGAATTAGATTGCACTATTTAAAAATTTTAATAAATAATATATTGACCGCCTTTCGATTCATCGTTAAAGCAAATCTACCTATAAATCGTTCTGCAAGTTTACGATCGGATGAAAACGATGTTGACTTTACAACTGTCTTGCACGCGAAATGGTTATAATTTCAAATGGACAAAACCGGTAGCCGTTTCAATATCCAGATCTGGTGCGGCGTTTGATGGACACGTTCGATTTGTGCGTAAACAATATCGTTCGTTACCAATTTGCATAATTTGCTCGTTTCACTTGCTTTCGTTGAATTGCCGACATTCTATCGTAAATTTACGATACGTCGACGTTTCAATAAAACGTAGCCCGAGCCGTGGATGTACTACACCACTACACTTAACGGAGACGTTAGGTTCTTCTTATTTTTCTTCGTTTACATATTCTAAACGAAGATGCAGCATGAACCGTACAAAGTATTAACTCTTAACGATTTTGATAAGATTTTGGTGATAAAGATTGTATGATTGTAGATCGTAAATTCGATTACGGTACAGAATCTTTAAAAAAATTTTGATTTTCACGTATTACTACTATTCTTGTACCGTTAACAGATTAGATTGATGTTTTATGATTATTAGGTTAATTCACATTTAATTTTCTCTTTCTGTATACGTGTTAAATTTAAATTTAAAAGAAATAATTTTTATAGTTTTCTTGGTGTTTGATTTTGATTAACGGTTACTTTTAATACTAATTGTAAGTGCATAAATCTGGTTCGCTAAAGACTTTCCGTTGCTTGGTATAAAATAGCATTAAAATTTGTTACTAGGAACTAGTAATACATACGGGTATAAAGTGTAACTTGAAACTGAAAGCTTTTTATCGACATCTTTCAAAAGAAATATGTAGGTATAAATCGGTTGGATAATTTCTAACTTTGTCAAGTAATATTTTATTATCACACATACTTTGGACAGTTAAATTTATGCGACAGTTAATAATATGTTTTTAGAATCAAAAATATTTTATTACATTTTTCATTTTTATCAAGATAAATCATATCTCGATTTATTAAACAAAGATATTTTGAGATGATTAAATAACGTTAAGAATGAAATACCGTTATATACCAGAAAATAGCCACATCGTTCATGAATTAAAGACGAAAAGATATAAATAATATAAAGTTGTATTTAAGTCCTCATAGCTGTGAACTTGACGTTAAGCCCACGCGGGCAGTGATCGCTCGTGAAACTGCTAACCCGCATTTCTCCCACAAATACCTATACCAAAACCACACGAAAACGGTAGTCATAAGTGGTACCCGTAAGTTACGTAGGTAACATTCATAAATAAAGAAAATTAAATATTGTTGGTCGTTAATGTGGAGGAAACATGAAGTGAAATTGTAAAAAACCTGATCAACGAGTACTAGTTGTATAGAATTCGATTGACCCAAATGACAAGGATCCCGTTAAGTGAGTCTCCACCAAAATGATCTTTCGAAATGTTATCGTAATTCTTTTATTAAGCAGTTTATTATACTCAGATAGATTTACGAAACAATATGGAACTGTCAAAATCAATCAAAAATAATATAAAAGGCGTTTAATATAAAAATAATGACTTTATAATGAAACTTTACTTTAATCTTGCTCTAACAAAATAATTATCGTTTGAATTTAATCAATACGGAATGATGTTGTTTTTCATATAAACAAGACAACTAAAACTGTATGCAAGACACGTGTGCGTCACTTAAGTCTGACCCGATTCGAAATAAACCTTTTAATACTTGACAAGCACCATATATATGCTTCCAGCTGCCTTAGGGCTTGTTTATGTTTGAACTAAAACTGTTGAATATGTATAGAAATTCAATTTTAATAAATTAGAAGTAGACAGAGTATTTACGCAGATCAGTGAGCTGTCTCTGCACCTTTTTACTACCAAAAAAGTTGCGATTTTTACGGTTAGGGTGTGTCAGAATATTAGTTAAATGTCTGCGTCTGAAGACCATAAATATAATGATATAAATAAGATAGCTGTTAAGTCATTGTAAAATGAAAAGCACCTAACCTCGATGAAGCTAAAAATCCATTACCAATTTGGAATTTGCTTTCAAGAATAACATGTTGTAACTTTTGCAGCACACTAACACTCCACTAAACTGAAAGGTATTCTGTCCAAACCAAGCATCAAATAACACATTGACATCATTAAGCGAAGAACATTCTTTGATTTTGTAGTACATAAGGCAATAATGTTTCTAATATTAATGGGTGTAATGAAGTTCCTTTTGCAGTATACATAAACTTTATTATTGAAGCCATTGAGGGATTTTTGAAGGATATAAGGACAATGTTGTAGACACTGTCTCCCTATTTGCTTAATATAGCAAAATGAGAGTCATTTATTCCCACAAAAAAAGATAAATCATAACCAAATCACCATGTACTTGTTCAATAATGTCTACCCCAATGACTGCGCTCATTAAGGACAATCCCCTGAATATTAAAATAATTTGGTATAATCAGAATAATCTTAGCCTTGTCTTGATGAAATGTTTTACTTTCGTAGAGTTATAAATGAGTTTAATATTAACAATAGATTAACAATAACAATAGAGTGTTAGTGTGCTGTTTAAAGAACCATCATGATTTAGATCAGATTGTGTTACCTGTATCCTAAATGTCTTCACAAACTTCAACCAGCTGCACTTTGAAACTATTGCAATAAACTTTCTTATGTCGGATTTGCTATTCCATGTCTGCTACGGTTCAAAATTTATTTTGTCGATTTATTGTTGGATGTCAAAGAGATGTTAACTCAACATTAGAGTATTTCATTAACCTGTAACCACTTCTGAAAGAGTCAACGAGTAAACGCAAACTAGATACAGTATAAAAAGGATATAGGTATTCCTGGTTCAGGGAAGAAAGCCTACCCAACCATATATCTTTCTGACAACAGATTGTATGGTTTATACGAAGTCTCTTCGAGCCTTCTTGGAATTATTGTTTTATACAAATTTTATGAATTTTTCATTTTATATAGTATTTGTTTAATACGGGTTATAACAGAACAACTACACCGAAAATCCCAAAAATGTGTATATGATTATGAGACTCTTGTTCCGTCGTTACAGCAGCCATTTACATATTGAGATAATTATGTCAAGAATAAATTGCATGCTATAAATCCGACTAATATCGTAACTGCACCGTAAGATTTAATAGAATACTTCATTAAGATTTTCAGGAGATAAAAAAATATATGAAGAAAATATTGCATAAAGTGTTATCACTTTTTTTTATTTTACATTATTCGATTGAATATTAATTAATTGGTAATTATACCATAACATATGTTAAAAGTTGTCGTAATTTATTTCAGATATATATTACTGTACTTTTGTCATCACTTAAACACGATTTATATCTCAGGAAACGTATGTTTATTAGGGGTAAAGAAACTCTTTATATGTTTTTAAAACATTTCTTTTTTGTCCAAATAATTTTGATTCTCTTATCTGTTATTTCTACGTTTCTCTAGTGATTTATATAAATTAAAATATAAAATATATTTAACAATTTTGTTTTAGTATTTCTTAAAATTAAATGTTAAAATTATGATAACTAAACATCAACTCTTGGAGGTATAAACCTCCTACACAATGGACATGTAGGTTTCTAAAACAAAATATTTAAATTATATTGTAGGAGTTAAATCAACATATTTATATAAAATATTACCTTGTACATCCAATTTAATAAACATAAACTATGAAATTTGTGACTACATGGAACACTTTTTATTTGGGTCCCTGGTGAAATTTCTATTAAACATATCGAACAATTTTCTAAAAAAAAATTTATGAAATTTAGTTCACCAGGATATCGTTTAAATTATTTAAACTCACCACTCTGAATTGTTGTAAGATCCGGTAATTCCTCATGAATGAAATCGACAACATATGTATGATACTTTTTTCGAAGATCTTTGCGCACAAAAAGTGACGACATCAAACGATCAAGAGATACCACAACATCCTCCAATTCTTCACAATATACTCGGACGGGATCAACCATATTCGCGAGATTTTGTGAAACTGAATAGTTTTAAAGATGAAGGGCGCTATTTATAGGAAATATTGAAATAAACATGTTTTTAACTACTTGGTAGGTATTTAGGGGTTGTTAGTTCCTCAAAATATTAAGAAAGGTAATTAAAATAAAATTAAAGTGTGAAAATAATGAATTTGCGGAATTTATTAAAATAACAAAAAATATTTTGGTACTAAAAAGCAACATTAAAATTTAAAAGGCCTGATTAAGAAAAAAAATTGCTCTCTGGTTACTGGCGTTACATAAGTAGGTGAAGCACATAAACGTAACTGTACCAAAGACATAAAGTTTCGCTTTAACCTGACCATGTTTGGCGTCTCGGAAGCGAGTTCACAACGACAAGAGAGGAATTTGGCCCGGGCACAATGCGAAAAGGCATCGTCGTAGCCGTCGACGAGGTGAAACCTGCCATCGAGTCGAGGCTAAACTCGATTCCGGCAAATTGATCCAGTTTCACGCGTATACAACACGATCTCTTAATAAAAAATCAACCCGAGAGAGCCGTCGGCAGCGGCAAGTCTCCTTCAGCAAAAGAGACTTTTCAATTTGATACCATCATGAAGTGCTGAGTAAATTGAAGCGTAGTACGTTGTAAGGTTGCAACTCGACCATTATCGACAAAGTTATTAGTACCGCTAATAAGGAGTATGCCGGGTGAAATCCGTATTAAAGATAATTTCGAACCGCAGTTCGAATAATGAGGACGATCGGTTTGATTTATTGATAAACCATCGTCATTAACTCGTTAAATGTGTTGTTGTCATTGTCAGTGTCTATGTAATATTACCTATAGGTTAATTATTACCTCAAACTAGTTTATTTGAAATTGGAACTTGTTATAACGGAGGAGAGTAGAACAATTTAGAATGGTGTTTTGCAAACATTAAAAATATTAAATAAAAGTGAAACACAACAAAAAAGTAAAGTCCAGTTGCTTGAAGATAAACTTTATACTTCTATGTAACATTATAGCCATAACATTAAAGGAGTCAGAATAACCATACCAGTGTCTCAAAAGATACAGATAAGGTAAAAGAGAGACTCTCAAATATTGGCAAAAAAATGGGGAATAAAATGATATGTGGTTAAATCCCAATAAAGTAAAAGGATTGTTAGGAGGGTGATCAAACGTAAGGTATAGGAATGCGGACAATATTATCATGAAAAGCAAAAGAATACAGTTATCACCGGATATGGTCCTTGCAATAGTTACTACGAGAGATTCAAGCTTAGTTACACAATTGGAATTTGAGCGGACAAACTCACAACAGATAGAATAGATACTCGTTAACATATTATTTTGGACATACCAAACGAATGTTTTGAATTCCCCATGTCCCTTTCATCTCTATAAATTCCAGGAAATGAAGAAATCTAGATATTCTTCTATAGACAAAGTATCTATCGACAATTAGCAATGACACCAAGATTGATGAAGCAGCTGCTATACTCTGTCTATCTCTATCTTTCTTGACAGTATCTTTATGAAGGAAGCGTGATGCTATAGAGTTTCTCTACATCGGAAGTCATGAGGTTTATGCGATGTATTAAGGAACTCAATCATTCCATACCAACCTACATATTTAATTGATTTCTCTCTACGAAGCAAGAATCTGAACTTAAATTTCAAATTTTACTTAATATTACTCGCTTTGATATAATGTGGTGTTGTAGACTATTTTAGAGTGATTTCAATGAAGCGTGGAGATATAGTGTGAGTTTTCTAAGACTCTTCCACGTAAGTGTTTTATACAAAAAAAGCGTATTGAGATAAAAATGTATAAAGCTTACAAATAATTCTAAACAGACTCATATTCTTTTTTGTTTTTTTTTTCATGTTCGTCATTTAATTAATTAGAGTAATACGATATTGCAAATGCATAATTATAATTAAAAATGCATAACTACTATTCGTTAAAGAATTGTGCCTATAAATAACGAATCGATTACAATGAAATGAGCTCGTGGTAGTTAAAAGCTTCGTAATCGTTTGGTTTAAATGGAAAAGTAGAGTTCGATCGTAATTTCTTATTTAATGTTGTATTCCAAGGAAGATAAGCATGTTTTGTTAGTGGACAATCGATTAGTTACCGATTCTTTTGAAACGGTTAATTGAATCTAAGGTGTAAATTAACGGGTTCCGGGATAAGAAGTAGCGCGTTTGAACTTCAAAGGTAATTCATGACGTGCTGAGTAATTAAATCGACGGCCGATTTAATGATAAACCGGCGCCCTTGGGCAATCAAATCCTTGTTTGCGGTCAGCGGCGATGCAGGGTTACCGTTACTCATAAATCGTTGGGGAGATCTAAAATAACTTTTCCCTGCTACTTCACTACCAGAATAGTGCAGGTACAATTATCTCTGTAAGTCGCGTTCCAGTTTATTAACTTGTTCTGAATGATAAATTACTTTCCAGTTGGAGGAGATAATAAAGGGTTTCGGTACATCCGAATTGAACAGATATTGATTGGATTTACGGTAAGCCTCGTGAACTATAATAAGAATGCAAACAAATTGAAGGTCATTTTAAAAGTGACGGCGTAGGCTGATCGTGTTCGCAAAGACCCCCAAAGCGACTATAAAGAAGCACGTACCGGGATACCGTAAAAGAAACAGTCTCGTAAACGATGGGCGCAAGTTTCCTAAGCTCCACATCCCAAGATCGTATATGGTAATGTTCCACAAACAGTAGTACGACTATAAATTCTAAGCGAGAGAACATCGATGACAAATTTAAACTGGTCCGTTGCGGCTAATTAACCACACACGCGGTGCGGATAACTCAATTGTATTATTGAAGTGTCATCGTCTTGGGCAGTTGCCGCAACAGTTAACGACAGGTGGCCCGACACCCCGCGGTGATCGTAAAAATCAATGTCAATACGCGACATTGGTTTATGTAGATGCCTGGACAACTTCACTTCACTTCACTTCTTCAACCATCCAACGACGAGTCTGTGACTAAGCATCTATCTATATAAGATCCGTTCAGTTCTTTTACCCTTTGTTTGAATCGATGAATCAATTCACCATTGATACTATCAATAAATCGTTTTATTTGATTAACTTTGTCTGTTTAATTTGTATCTAAAATACATAATAAAAATTGTATTGTATATTTTTTGTGTTCTCCTTTTCTTTATTAAAAAAAAATTGAATGCATACCGGAATTAATCGAATTATTCCGGTTATGGGGTGTAATATGAAGTGTGTAATTCATTGTTCGCATAGCAGGATCCGTATATGCTCATTTCACTTGACGAAGCGAACAACGTTCCGTTCCATCCTGGGAACTTAAGACGAGACTTTACAATTAGTAGTTCACAATGGCTCGTCGGCAAAAATGCAACGTCAATAAATTTCATGTTGGTTAGTACTAGTTTTTTAATATAACATTTTTTAAGTCGTTTTTTAATTAACTACCTGTTCGGATATCATCTTAATTTGGAATGATGAAAATTTATTGCTTGATTTAATCGGATAGAAACCTATTTTAGAAAATTGATTTACATTTGTTGAATTGATTCAATATTTACATAAATACGTTTTCTTTATTTTATTATATTTGTTGAATGTTTTATTGATTTGGCTCATTGTCTAATACACAAAAAAATACGTTTTAGTGTTTTTAATTTATTCAATTTAGCATCAGATTATTCAAATAAATTCAGGTTAAATTATTGTTATAATAAATTACAACGATTTATAGCAAAACATATTCCGTTTAAAATGCAAATATTCTGCATACATCGAATTCTATGTTAAACGCAAGATGTTAAACCCAACAAGATATGTGAAAGTTCCAAAACAATTTGTCATCAACTGATATGAATTGTCATGTAGAATGTGGAACTACATAAATTTTTGCAATACTAACATAAAACAAATGTGCAAAACTGTATTAACAGTTTATTTCGATTATATGAATTGCTGATTTTCTATGCATTTAGGCATTATAAAGTTTATTTTAGATACAATTTTATGAACTTCTTTCCAATAACGAGAAATGAATGTTACGTACTTGCCTTAGCTTAGAAATAGAAAGTAGATTAAAAATAGACGGTCTTACGGACCACTAGGTATTATAACATGTGCATCTTTTTCCCAAGTTCTATAAGCGGTGTCAACTTAGGTTTAAACAGATCCCCAAAGAGAGAACCTAAGATTAAGTGTGCTCATGAACAAGGTTATTATACAAATATTTCTGTAACAGGTGGTTTAATGAAGAACTCAGGAACGATCACTATGTTCAAGTGGTTTAAAAACGCTTACAATGTTCGCTATGAATACTTGGGTGACGGTGATCTACCTAGTACTGCAGTATGTGATGAAGAACACTATGGTGAGGAGATAAACATAAATAGGTTGAATATGTTAGTAATGTTCAGAAAAGGTTTGAAACAGAATGGGAAAGTTGAAGGAAAAAACTAAAAAGCTATCAGATAGAACTGCCTTAGGTGGTAGACCTGGTTTGATGCGGATTGCAATTAAGCAGTTGCAATATTACTATAGCCTGATGAGAACTGTCATCATCGATTTATCTAAACTAGAGTTACTGAAAAAATGTCTATAAGGAAGAACTCAGAATTATAATGAGTATTTCTATAGTATAGTTTGGACATATTCCAAGATAGATTATCGCCTAATTATTTATCTCCTTTATTAACTGACCAATTTTAGGGATCCACAGTAAAATGTTGATCAATCCATTGTGTGATCGAATATTGAATATGATTAATATAAGTCGCCCAACATCATTGTTTCCTTCTTCATTTTCAAGTCGCAAACATCTGCTGTTCTAAACTGCATCTTTTTGGGTCTTGGGCATTGTGGAATAAAACTGCCTACAACGTATCAACGTATAGGAACGTTCTCGTTATCTTTTCTTCTTTCCTTAAATTTACTTTATAATAATAATAATAATAATAATAATATTCCTTTATTACCCAACAGGCATAGCCC